CATCAGTCTATTGTGGATGACTGGACATAGCAGCTGAAACCAGGGGAATGCAGTAGCCACCTGTACTCATTAGCCACAGACTCCAGCAGGGATGCTATTGCTATTCTGAGAGCTACCTTCAAGAGCAAATATTGAATACTAAGCCTGGACAGGAATGCTTCAGATTAAAAAAATAAAATAAAAACAGACCACGCAAAAGGATCACTTGTGCAAGGAACGGATTACTATTTATACAGTGCCATACAAGTGTTACCCTTGAAAGTGCTAACATAAGCATAAACAGACAATCTCTGCTCCAGCGATCTTACACTCCAGGTGTTAGTTGAAGGGGAGAAAACAGTAAGAACGACAGCATATGATCACTTTCCTGCCGCCAAATAATAAATCGGTTCTCTACAAAGTAGAACTGCAAATCCTATGCAGAGCAATTCTAGTCTAACTCCACTGAAAACAATGGGGTTTGAGTAACTCTGCATAGGACTGCACTGTGAGAGCTGCACTGAACTAGCTTGGCATATTCCAGGATATGCTGGAAGATACTATCAGAATGGTCGTGTCTCCCCTACTTTCCACTTAACCTCTGAACCAGGGGAAATGACTGCCTGCTTGTTACGGTCCTAATTTCCCCCACCCTCCATTCTCTTTTACTGGACGTCTTGAAAAAAGGAAGTGAAACTGAACGTTGCAAAAAGTGAAGGGGTTTATCAGTGAAGATGTTTAGAGTTTCCTGAAAAAAAGCATTAAGCAGCTGCTAAAATGTTTGCTTAACTTGTTAACTTTGGGCTAAAAAAAAGCGGGAACATAAAAACCATATTGGGCATCCAAGATTAAATAAACAGAGCCACTGCTTTCAAATTCAATCAGGAGGGAAATTGGGGCTCCATGGAAAATTTGTTGGGCACTTGCAAGCTTTAAAGACTATGCTCAAAGAGCAATAGCTGGCAAGTCAAATCGTGCATTAAGCATAAGAAGCACCACTCCAAGTAAGACCATGGTTCGCAGACAAGAATACTCTGGGGATAATACACAGCTTGCCAATGATTTCAACATTTGGTTTTCTAGGTCAGCTCATAGACCTCTAGTGCTGAGATTATACAGCATTGAAAAGGAGAGGGTAATAGTCTTTTCCAATTGCTTTTGAAAAAAAGCCACTTGCTTCACACCTGCCAATCCGTTTCAGGCAACTCAGTTTTGGAAAAAGTGCCACAAATTCCCTGAATAGAAAGTGTCCATGCCTAGGGCTATACCTGCTTCTAAGGCATTTGCTCTCAGAAGCATCCAGTGATTAGGTTATTTTTTTTTAAAGGCTGGACTGCAAAAATCAGACTTTGTTCCCATCTCAGCTTAGTGTGATGGCAACAATTCTGAGCGCATCCCTGGTGAATGGCCACCTCAAAGAGGCGCTTACCCAACTTCTCTCTGCTGCTTGCTGCAGGAAAGCAAATAAGGAGACTGTCCCTAATTTGGTCCCTAAGGTGGAAGTGCGACGATTTGACGTCAGTCATGTAAATACACCCCAGGCATCGGTCAGACACAAATCCCATCAACACAACCTGATGCCCAAAATTACTCTGAGCTGCGGTTCAGCCCCGGAACTTGGGACGTAAGACATGAAGCAATAATAAAAAGCCTTTCTGAACATGCGCAGAGTGCCTTTCCCGAAAAGGTAGCCAGCAGGACTCCCAGCTTGCCTTAAGGCTGTGGAAATTGACCAGGGGACCAACTCAATTCGATTTCTTACTGTGCAGCTACGGGGGCTTCTTCGTGAAGAAAAGAGCCCCAGAAGCAGCTGCGGCGGACGCGCTCGCCCCCCTTGGCGGCGTCGGCAGCCGGCCGCCCTGCTCCCCTTTTGTTGCAGCAAGCGAGAGAAGCAGCTGCCCAGCAGCAAGCCTCCCGAGCGCGATCAAGTTTCCCGCGGGCTGCAAGGGAGCGATTCAAGACCGCCCTTCGCTATCTCCGGGGCAGGGGAGCAATCTCGATGAGAAACACTACTTTGTTTCAAGGCAGCCGGGTTTTTAGCTGCCGATTGCCCTAGTCGGACAAACGCCCTCCACCGCCAGAGGGAGGGCAGTGCAGCTTTAAGAAAGCCCGCCGCTGCAAACTGGAGAGCGCCAGCGGCGCCCTCCGCTAGAGTAGAGCCCGCCGCCTCGCATTGCCGCCGCTGCAGCTCCTGTTGCAGGCGCCCCCCCCCCAAAAAAAAAATCTGCCGCGCCGGAGCCTTTGGCGGGGTGAAGCGGAGAACCAATGCAGGCTGAAGAACCGCTTCACAGTCCGCCACGTTTCCCAGCAGCAGCGCGTGCGGAGACTGCTAAGGGCGGTTTGATGGGATTCAAAACGATGTCGCGGACGCCCGCCTAGCCAGGCTACCATCCCGCCGCCCGTTTACTCGAGTGCCGTCCTCGGGGACCTCGCTGCGACTCTCTTCCCGAGAGTGCCCCCCACGAGGCTCCTTTGGAACTTGCTTGGAGGGACCGAAGGCAGGCGCCCACCGTGCGGAGGTTTCTTTCCAGACGGCTTCCGAGCCTCCCGCACCGCTGGACTTTTTCTTGTTTCCAGGCTCTTGCCGTCCACCCCGCCCACCCCTGACCGTACTTTTAAGTTTGCGACCCCCTCGGAGTTAAGGGAGTCCGCCCCCCCCAAAAAAAAACACCCCTTAAAGAAGTGAACCCCCCTTCCTCCCCGCCTCTCTCGTCAGCCACGCTGCACGTCCACACACGCGAAGACCACTGCAAGTCCAGCAGCTACTCACCAGTGAATGGGGAAAAATACAGACATGAAGTCCTAACAAAAAGGCTGACCAAACGTCCTTTTGTGTCTGAGCACAGGGATCGTGCGGGGGGGGGGGGAGAGAAGCGCGGGCTCAAGGCGATCGCCGGATGATGTGCACCAGGGGAGGGGAAGGAGGAACGGAAGGCGCCTGCTTCAAGAAGAAAAAGGGAGAGGAAAACGAAGAACTCGACCACGCACAACCCCACCTTCAGCCACAGCTCTAAACCACACAAAGCGTTTGGGAAGCTGCCTTTATAGCCGAGGGGGGCGTGCCCGTGCCCGCCAACCCCGCCCCCTCTCTCCGATGATGTCACCAAAATCATGAATGGTTTCATGCTTTCGGCCTGTAGCGGAGCCGCGTCTCGGAAGAAGGGAGCGGGCTCGGGAGCTCTCTGATTGGTCGCCGCTCGGCTTCTACGGCATCATCTTCGGCACGAGCGCTGCTTGCTGCTGATGTCTGCTGTTACCTAACCCACGTCTCCAGTCAATCAATCCAAGTTTGGACATAACCCCCGCAGGGGATTTTTTTTGTTTTGCTCAGGGCTATAGGCGGGGCTTTTTGTTGTTTTTCTTTAAAAGCCCACTCCTCTGAGAGATGAAGCGTTTCCGAAGAGAACCTGCCAACGCCAGACTCCTTCCATCCTAAGTGGGATGCAATTGCGAAGAAAATCGCAATCGGGTTTATTTACAGCCCTTCTTTCACAACAACGGGGGTGGACAAGCACACGGTGCGTCTTTCTTCTTCCGTACTCTCTGAAAAGACGGCCTCTTTGCCCACACCATCTGTATCTAATTAAAACACACACACACACCCTATCAAAACTAGGGTCTGAGCAGTAACCAGGCCGTTCACCTTTTTGGTGTGGGCATTGTGCACTTCCTCTAACCCTTTTGGTCATTATCTGGTGAGGAGTGGGGATGGGAAAGGAGCGCTTCTGTTTTGATTTTCCTAATCTGGATGGAAGAAAGGTTTAAAATAATCCATGGGAAAGTGAGAGTTGGTTGCAGAGTCGTAAATTACTGGGCCGGGCTGCTTCTGCTGGGAAAACCCAGAATGGGTTTTTATTTTTAGTGTGTTCGCATAGGGGGGGAGTGGCAACAGGCTTTCATGCAGGGAGATTTTCCCACCAGACAAGAGTTAGGTCTCTTTCTTGCTCAACTGAGGCACAGAAAAGGGTTGGGGAGCCAACTGGGCTTTCCACCAGCACCTGCTCCTGGAATCATTCCACCCGTGTTGTGAAGATGACTGGAAGAAGTTGGGATTAACCTAACTGGTGCCCTTCATAACATGAACAAAGGTTTCTTGCAGAGGAAAAGCACCCAGGGGGTTCATCTGTGTGTCGGGTGCTTTGTTCAGAAGCATCTCTGCAGTGCCACAGGAAGGAAGTGCAGCCCTGAAGCCCTTCCTTATGTAACACTGTGCATTGCTCTAGTCCCTATTTGCAAGTGAAGAGATACCACCGGACAAAAATGAGGCCGCAGCCCCTTCACCCCGGCTTCTCGACCCTTCTTGTCTTTTTTCAGGAGTGGAATTCTAATACAAGAGGAAAGTAGGCCCTACAGATGACATTAATTTAGTACATTTTATCCCTCCCCTCCTCCAGGGAGCTCAGAGCAGTGCATGTTTTTTATTATGTACTCATTTATTAGCAAGATGTTTACCCTGCCTTTCTGCCCTCATAGAAATAGCAAAGAGCAAGAGTCCAGCAGCATCTTAAAGACTAAAAAAAATGTGTCGGGTATGAGCTTTCGTGAGATATCTAAAGTACTGAACTCATGAAAGCTCATACCTTCACGAAAACTCCTACCCTGCCACAAATTTTGTTAGTCTTTAAGGTGCTACTGGACTCTTGCTCTTTTCTACTGCCACAGACAGACTAACACGACTACTCATCTTGATCTGTCCTCATAGGGCCACCAAGGTGGCTGAAAAATTGAAACATGCACACATGTCGTTGTCCCTTCTTCCGTTTTATCCTGACAACAACCCCATGAGGTAGGTCACACTGACAAAGGGTGACTGGCCAACGCCAGCCAGCATTCTTGATGGCAGTGGGGTCTGAACTTGGGCCTTCCACCTCTTAGTCCAAGACACTAACCGCTGTACCATGCTGACCACCGTTATCAATGTGTTATAATCCTGATTAGCATAATATGCCACCAACCCAAAACAAACCTAAAGTAACTCTGTAGCCTGCTGTACATGTATATGTTAAGAAACTGAAATGTAACTTAGCTTTCTAAATATTTCTGGTGTCTTTATTTTCTGCTAACCTAACCCAAGTAAAAAAGTTAAATGACTCCCCCAAGGTAATAATAACTAGTTAAACTGGTTCCACCTTTTAAAATAGCTGCATAGGCCAGGCCATCTGGGTCCACCCTGAATTCCAATAAACATTTCTGGCTCCTTTTAGTCAAAAACAGATGCAGTTTGTGAACTAGAATCCATCAACCCCCTTCTTTTGACTGATTTAAACAAATCGCGAGGGAAGAATCAAAGTCCTGAATACATTTTACTTCTGATTGCTGACATTCTGACCCTTGAACCTAGAAATAACAGAAGCCTTAAGTGAATGAAGTAATGAACAGGCTTCATATTGTCCATTTGCACAAAGGAGAATTTATTTAATCTAAGCAGTGAGGGCATCAGTGAAGTATATAACAGGAGAGATTTCTAAAAAAGATTTCTTGAACAAAGATTACAAACTTGAGACTTCTTTGCTTCCCCCCCTTTTTCTTTTTTTAAAGAAAAATTGGAGCCAACAAGATGATCAAATAAAAGCCAACCAGATCCCCTTGGCAAAATCAAACAATCATAGCTGCCGTGAGGCAGGTTTTATTGAATTATTTTAAAAAGTCAAGAAAGGGCCAACCCTGAAATGCCTCCAGTCTTTGAAGACAACTTTAAAAAAAATTAAAAACTTTGAAGAGACTGTACTTTAACCAATCCACACACACAACCTCCACGCTTTTAAACAATAAGGTTGGTTAGGTCCCCTTGCCATTGCAGCAAGGGGCTTTGGGAGCATTCCAGGGGTGGGTGGGACGTCATGTGCGACATCCCGATGCAAATGACATCACCCAGAAGTGATGTCATCACATCAGTGACATTTTGCAAGACACTCTGGTTTCTGGGCAAAACTGTGGTTTTTTGCTTTCAAAGCCAAAGAATTTGCCCAAAAACCGGAGAGTCACTGTGCAACAGGCCTTGCAGCAGATCTAAGCCCTCAAAAGCGGGGGAACCCCCATGGGGACGGGTAACCCTAAACAAGAAAACGTGCAGCGTTTCCAAGCAAGCCCTCTGTATCTGTTTCACTTTTTGTACTTCGAGGGCTTTTCTTTTTCTTTCCCCCCACCTGGAAAGGATGCAGCTCTCTCTTCAGAAAAGGACAGCCCCCATCAAAAACAAACAAAGGGGATATAGCATTTCTTAAGGTAACCCACAATGCAAAATTTCAGACAGGTAGAATAAATCTGCCCTCCCTCCCTTTTGGGGCAATGAAAGGCACCCATGTTTAACATTATACTTTATGAGAGAACTGATAGGATAAATTCCAAAAAGTAACACAGATGGCACTGAAGCCACTAAGTTTGAAGACCAGTAGCAGGAGGAAAAGACACTTGACAATGTAAGGGCATTTGGTGGCACAGGGAGAATAAGGCATCTGGGCTGGCAGGTAGCATCAGTAGGACCACCACATAGATTTGCTTGGAAGGTGGAGAAGGTCTGAAGATCAGCAGATTAACAGGGTATGGTTGCCAACCTCCAGGTGGGGCCTGCCAATCTCCTGCTATTACAATTTATCTCCAGATAACAAAGATCAATTCCCCTGGAGAAAATGGCTGCTTTGGAGGGTGGATTCTATGGCATCCTACCCTGCTGAGGTCCTCCCCAAAACTTGATCTCCCCAGGCTCCACCCCCCAAACTTTCCATGTATTTTCCCACCCAGAGCCGGCAACCATGAGGGTAGTGCAGGCTCATCGGAAAATTTGGCACAGCAGGGGCAGACACTGGGAAGAGCAGAAGGCAAATTACCACTCCATATGCTGCAGGATTGGAAAACCTCACATTTGTATATAATGCTAGTGGCTACAGTTTGCAGTCATTCGAGAAAGCTCAGAGCATCTCTTCCCCTAAGGAATACTGTGTTTCTCTATGCCCTTATTAGGAAAATTCTGCCTTCCTTGTAAAAGTGAAACCAATAGAGGCAGAGACAGCAATAAGGAAAGAAACCAGAACTAAAGAAAATCATGTTTGTTTGTTTTTCAGTATAGACTGCTTAGATGGGGTATTTGTTTCATTTTTCATATTATTTATGATAATTATGAATCACCCTGTTTTCATAATTATTTAATTAATAAGGAATGAAACACATAAATTTAGACATTGTTTATCGTTTTGTTCAAATCAGCCTGATTTTACAAAATGTAAACCACAAGCAACAGTATATTGTGTGAAAGGTGGGAACGTCACCACATCTAATATTTGTGTGAAGATAATTGAGCTGGTTTTTCTCCCCTCTATCTATTTGTCCCTGTCATATTTAAGCATACACCCTTTTTGAATACTCTCAGAAAATAACATTTTCCAAGCACATAGAAAACCAAACCCTGCATGCATGTATGATTTAAGAAGCTCTATTTCAAGCATGCATCTTTTTTGGGGTGGGAATTGGGGGGGTTATTCTATGGTTTTTACACTAATGTTTTAATTGTGGCATAAGCTGCCTTGGGCCATAAGGAAAAGTGGGATATACATATTTTAATGGATTACTAAATAAAATAAATAGTTCTTAATGTTACAAGAGCATGAATCAAGATTGCTAGGCAGGTGCGGTTTTCTCCCCAGACAGACAAAGGAAACCACTCTGAACAGGATTGCTGACAGACCTGACCCTAACCCTAACCCTGAACAAAAATGTCCTGTCCCTTTCATAGAGGCCTAATGTGTGAAAACAGGTAATTAAAACTTTTCATAGCATGGACATAAATAACATCACCTGGTAACTAATATCCTATTAAGCCTCAGTTAGTGGAATACAGCATTTTTTTCTCCAGGCCTGTTGGTAGCCCTAACTTTGAAAGTACATGCCACATTAGGGAATTCCAAAACACTACAACACTGAATCTGCAAAATATTGATATCCCTACCCAGGTCATTCATCATTCTCTCAGTCTCCTCTAGACTGCACTTCATTTGGCTTTCATTCAT